CGGCAACGTGGAGACGTACTGTACCAACCTTGGAAGAACCTGCTATCGATTTAAGAATATGACATGACACATAACAATCTAAATAAGCCTATTTTCGTTGGATTGACGACACAATAAGCGTAACTCGATCAGTCCATCGACGTAGTCGTGCTCCTCTCGTACGATCCTAATTCGCGTCTACGATCAATGTGATGTTTAGTAATGATGAGACTGAGCGCGCTGATCGTCGCCCAGTCGTAGAAGGGTGTAAACAAGATTACAAGCTGCATACGTAGCGGAAAAAGGACTAATCAGCGCACTGAAGTGGGGATGCTTGATCGTCTTCGCGGTCGTCACTACCCGCCCTCGCTGGCCCCCAGTACATGTATACAAGCTCTATATTAGTAGTCACACGCTGGATTCAAGGTAGTAGAGTATCTACTAATCTAGTATGTGTTCTGTAATAGGATCAATATCGATCCAGGCGGGAATGACTGATCCTACAAGCTGGCCATAAGTACAGGCCATCTAATATTTTGACTATGTTCGACTTAGCACCCTATCTCCGAGTCCATCAACCAAAGTAGTGTACTTGGATAGAAAAATTTGAAACATTTAGTGTTCCAGAGCTCCAGAAAGATCGGCTCTCCATTCGATCTTGTGATATGGAAAGCATACGAAGTCGTTGGATCATCTAATAACCGAAAAGTTTCGTGTTGAGAAAAAGCTCTAGCTTGGGTTACAAACAAAAAAACAAAAAAAACATGACTTACCTATTCCTCAAATCGTATCCGGCAACATATCCAACCCATCCCGCATCTTGATAACCGTCTGCCCCTTCGCATACAACACCTTATTACACTTATGGCACTTCGCCTTCCAACACTTCTCCGCCTCCTTCCACTCCTCCATCTCCCACGACCCAATAAAGTCCCCCTTCGAACACCGATCCATCTCCTTAAAAATCCGGAACTTGAGCTCTCGCCATGCAGCGTGGTCCACCTCTGCATTACAGCTTGCGAGCGTACATCGCGAGTTCTCGGAGTTCCCGAGACTGAACACCTCTGCGTCGTCGAGCCACGCTAGGAATGCGTCTCGGCGGCAGCGGTGTAAACGGAGGAGGGCGAGGAGGTGTTTCGCGGAGATGCGCCGGAGGGCATCTTCGTGTTCTTCATCGAAGAGGTTGAGCGCGAGGGAGTGTTTGGAAGCGAGCTTCGCTTCGGGGATCCAGTCAAAGTGCGTGGCGATGGCGTAGAGCCGGAGAGGCTGGTCGAGGAACATGGGCGCGGTAATGCCGAGGCGGAGGATGGAGAGGGCCCGGGGGCTTCCCAGGATTCGGCGAGCGTAAGGAGGGTTTCGAGTTCGGTGTAGCGTTTGTCGTCGGCCTCGGGATCGGGGTCGTCCGAAGGGTCTTGGACCAGGCGGGGATGGGGAGGCCGCTCATGAGGCAGAGCATGGGAAGAGGATGGGGTCATTTTGGGAGGTGGGGATTGGGGAGGAAGATGAAGATTGGGAGGACAGTTGGGAAGACGAGAGGGAAGACGAAGTAGACGGTAAAGAAAGCAAGACTCAAAGAACCCGGAGGTAGATTTGAGCACAAAGGAAGGAATGCGGTAGAGGGTTCCTTCGAGCGATGAAAGGGTGATGTCGGCTTCGGGTGAGTTGAACTGGGGGTGGTAGGTTTCGCAAATAGAGGCCGTTAGGTCGCTCGACATGTTGGAAACGAGGTAGCTGGGTCCACGTTGATCGGAGTTGGCGGCATAAAATAGCGAAGATAGGCGCCCGTTGTTATTCGGTGATTGATTGCACGGATCTTTGCCTGTAGGCTGGCTTGAAGGAAACTATCTGGAAACTATGTATCACAGTGGCTATATAACCCAATGTACTTAGAGAAACAAGATATATAATAACTCGCAATCGTCCATACGATGGCATACAAAAAAAAGCCCTCTTAAGTTTCACGAAAATAATGCCCGTACATCACCACCACTGGCTGCAAGATACGAAAGATACGAAGGTGCCGGGCTACTACCACCACTACCCACACTACCCATACTACTACTCTTACTACTACTCTTACTACCCACCAACCTCGTATTATCCAACTTCGCATTCTCCGCCAAGAGCAGATCCATGCGTCTGCGCATCGTCATGACATCCATCGACTTGAGTGAGTCCGAGTCCGAGTCCGAGTTATACACGAGGGAGATAGCTGGTACAGTGCTTTCTCCCTTCTGTCTGTCTCTTTTGTCTTTTTTAAGGCGTTCTTCGAATATCGTAGTAGTAGTTATTGGAGTCGGAGTTGGACTATTACTATCATCGAAAGGATTTTCATTCTCCTTAGATTCCGGTGAAAAACCCACTCCTGATGCTGATGCTGAAGCCGGTCCTGGAGAAACGATAGCGAAAGGATTCACAGCCCGAGAATTCCTTCCACTCGAACACTCAGTGTCCAAAACAGCGAACCGGCGTCGTGCGAGTTGCCGTGGGCGGAGTTTGCAGAAGTAGCAGAGTGCTGCGAGGGAGAGGAGGGCTAGGAGAGCTAGCCCTCCGACGATACCTCCGATTAGGACCTTGTTTGAGGAGGGAGGGTGGGTGGCGGTTGATATGGAAGTAGAGGATTTGGAGGAGGGGGAGGGAGGAGAGGGGGAGGAGGAAGGGAGAAGCGATGGAGAGGAGGTTCTATGGGATATGGGTAAGTCTCGTGGGTCGAGAAGAAAGAAGGGAGGTCTTACGCTGTAAGGCTTGGAGACGGACTGCGTGACAGGTTTTATGAGCAACTCGAAGATCTGTGATTATTGGTACCAGCTTACCTTGCTACGCTTGAAGTAGTAGTAGTCGAAGAACCACTAGACAGAGATATCGATCCGGTGGTGGCAGTGGTATGGGTATCCGAGGACGAAAAGGAGTGGGTATTTGACGGTGACACTTGACTGAAACTTTTCTTAAAACCGGGGGCGTTTACGGCGTCTGCCGCGCCCTTGCATTTTTCGGTGGCTTCAAGTGAGAAAGAAAAAGAGAGAAAGAATGAAAGAGTCAACCCATGCATAGGGGAATACGACGAAAGTGGGTCTTACACGAAGCAAACTGTTTCGTCGTTGAATTCCCATCGCTATCCTTGATCGTGAGTGTAAACTGGTCACCTTAGGGGGTATAGTTCATTAAGTATAAGTATTTGAGCGAGAGCTGGAGGTTTTTACCTGCCAACACCTGCATAAAATCAGGGATGAATATATGTGACTGTGTATTTCCAAGGTCGGATTGATGATCTGGCAATCCGGGGATTCTGAAAATTATTAGAACTATATACATATGGGTTACTGGAAGGTGCACGGTGAAGGCTCACTGCTATATACGTGATGGATTAGTAGCAGGTAAGTAAATGAGCATTGAAGGTAACGTACTTGGATTAGTTGGTACGGTTCTAGGAAGAGAAGAAGGAGTATCAGTTTGTACTCGATCGCCAAGAGGCTACTAGAATGGCTCACGTATACCGCCACGCCATTGGAGCAGGATAGAGGCGCAGGTGATGGTAGTTTGGCTAATGGTTACCGAATATCAATACTTCAGTAGCTGAAGTAATGTAAAATGGTCTACACACGTATTGAGAAATGTAAGGGCTTGACCGTGCACGCCGGAGAACAGAAGAAAAAGAAAAAGGAGGGACATGATCCCGACTCGCACTGCGTCAGGCTTTCTGGAATCAGGAAAGGTAAAACAGGGAATGAAGAAAGCATTCGTGGGATAAGAAACTAAGCTTTAAAGCTACAAGTTAAATAAGTCAAGTAGAAGCCACCCCACTGGCCATTGGGAACACAAGGGAACGACATCAAAGGCTGCTGTACAACGGTGATCCCGAGCAACCAAACTATATACCTAAATCATAACGTGGTGCGTATCCCCACCCTGTTTTTGCTGGCCCCTCTTGTGAGGAATCAACCATGGAAAGATTCAAAGATTCACAAGCAATCAAAGCCATTGAGAAAAAGTTGATAGCGATATTGATATTAGTGTATGAGTGGGTGACCTCAACTGGGCAGTACAGTTGACTGAGGAGAAGGCTCAGGTTGCCGATGGTATTATTGTTGCACGCGAAGAGGGGTGAAGTCCTTCCGTACACGTCAGTGTCTTCTCTTGGAAAAAACAAAAAGGACCATTTGGAGAAGACGGAAATAGCCGATTTAAGCGCCGGTTGGTTGGGTAGGCGCTTGTTGATTTATGTGGACGAGCTCGACGTCGACAACGTTCTGCTGGATGATCCTCTGTTTTTATTTGTTCTTGCACAGGCCAAGAGGTCAACATGAGGTTACTGATGGTTAGTTGAAGTTCAATCTAACCTCATTTCCATTTACGTACTTGAACAATAACTTGCATACTGCCTAAGTATGTGTATTTTTACTGCATTTTTTCTTTACGCACACTTTTCAATTTCTTTACACAGTTGAACCTTTTCATCCCTGCCGGACATCCCCAAGGACCCCAAGTGCAGCCTGAGTTGTAAAAACCTTTTAAACATTTTTTTTACCAAGTACATCCGAGTCGTACCTCTTTTACTAAATTAATGAATGGAGTTGTTGCTCTTGCTATAAAAGAACTGTCTGAGGTACATTGAAACTTGTAGAGTGAGCTTTGGGCGTAAAAGTGACTCTGTTCGCAGCAGCAGCACAATATTTGGTTGAGACTGCGACAGGGGAACAAAAGGGGAAAGGAGTGGTCGTATGAGTCTTACTTGCGGCGGCTACAAGAACCGATTGAGAACCCCCCACGAACAACGGGTGCTCAACAGTATGAGACAGTATGGCACTAGGGTTGCATTACCCCTTCTTAGGCTTTAGCTCAGTCGGGAGAGCGCGTCACCGTAAAAGCTGGTATTCCAACACGAGGTCAGTCGTTCAAATCGACTAGAAGGATATTCCATATCCTCATGCGCCGAAATTCATCCAATTCTTGATCTCTAGATTGCACTAAAAATCCCCCCACGAACAACGGGTGTTCAGCAGTACGGTGCTAGGTCGTATAACCCCTTCTTAGCTCAGTCGGGAGAGCGCGTCGCTAGGATTAGATTGGGAAACCTGGCCACTGCATATTCTAACGCGAGGTCAGTCGTTCAAGTCGAGTAGAAGGACATTCCAAATCCACATGTGTTGAAATTCATCCAATTTTTTTGATATCTGGATTGTGCGACAGCTTTGAAAACTCAAGAACAACAGTAGCTTGCAGACTCCTTCTTAGCTCAGTCGGTAGAGCGTGTTACTGGAATACTCTGGGAAAGAACCCCTTTGTGCATCTTTAATTACGAGGTCAGCCGTTCAAATCGGCTAGAAGGAATGCCATCTTTTTTGCTCTGCTGTGTTCAGCCGATAAACATCGACACCATATAAGTCTGTTTCCGTTGCCGTTTCTTTTGGCAAGGGGCAAGAAATCATTAATTGAAAAAAAATCTCATGCTCAAAGTAAGCACGCTGCTCAAGACCATAGGTTCGAAGGTTCAAATTTCAAGTTGTCTGTGTCGAACAACACAGAGTCTCGCACAACATATACGCTCTAAATTACATTGAACTTTATCGTATGTAACGCAAGCTGTTTAAGTTGGAACGAAAAAACTCAAACATGATTCTGCATTCCTACGGATCGAACTCACGACCTGAATTGGGCGAGCAGCTTAAACCACTACACAATAGCGATACATGTATGTTTGAACGTAACTCAATAAAGGCACCAACAAAAATCAACGTGAGTCAAATCCTTACGAAGTTTACGCTTTTCCCATTGAGAGGGCCGCTTCGGGGGTCTTCGAACTTGACAAGGGCAAGAAACCGCTTCCAAGATAGGCGCGCGTTATTCTTCGGTGATTGAATATTTTGCCTGTACACTGAAATTATGTATCACGGTGTGCTACATAACTCAACGTAACTCAACGTATTCAACGTATTAAAGGATAAAATACATACAATATGTACAATTAAAGAGTCCGTAGCGTACAAAAGTCCATACCATACCATCCATACCGTACAAAAAAGTCCTTTCAAGTCCACGAAATCATCACGAGAGTCATACATCATACGAGTACATCACCACCACCAGCAGAAAACGAACCCAGCGACGGAATACTCATACCACCACCACTACTCTTACCACCACTCATACTACTCTTACCACCATGACCACCATGACCACCATGACCACCCAACCTCGTATTATCCGACTTCGCACTATGATGCTCCGCCAACAGCAGATCCATCCGCCTACGCATCGTCATAACATCCATCGTCTCAAGCGAGTCTGAATCCGAGTTGTACACGAAGGAGATAACTGGGACTGTTCCTTCTCCTTTAAGCCGTTCTTCGAATATCGTCGTAGTTGTCGTTGTTGGCCCATGACCAGTATCACTACTACCACCGAAAGGAACTTCGTTCTCCTTATGTTCTGGTTTATGTTCTGGTTTATGTTCTGGCGAAAGAACCGCTGCTGCTGGTCCTGAAACTGGCGACCCTGAAAGAGAAAGAGGAACTGGAGCCCTAGGGTTGGGACTGATAGGACTGATGCCCAAGGTAGCGAAACGGCGGCGGGCGAGTTTGCGGGGACGGAGTTTGCAGAAGTAGAAGAGAGCTGAGAGGGAGAGGAGGATTAGAAAAGTTAAGCCGCCGATGAGACCGCCGATTAGGGCTGCCTTGTGTGAGGTGGATGGGTGGGTGGTGGTTGATGTGGAGGTAGAGGATTTGGAGGATTTGGAGGAGGAGGAAGGAGGGGAGGAAGGGGCGGAGGTAGAGGATGGAGATATGGAGGATATGGAGGAAGGAGAGGAAGGAGAGGAAGGAGGAAGGGATGGTGACGAGGTTGGGCTGCGTGGATAGGGTTTAGTAGGAACCCGAAGATTTAAGATTAGTGGTATTGGCTTACCTTGCTACGCTCGAAGACGAACTTGTAGTCGAAGCTGAAGAACTACCGGTACTGGAGAGGGATGTCGATCCGGAGATGGCAGTGGCAGTACTAGCGGGGGTACTCGAGGATGAAACGGAGTTGGTAGTTGACGGTGAGGAGGATTGACTGGAACTGTTTTTTCGAAGTGTCGGAAGCGTTTACGGCGAATACCGCGCCAGTACATCCTTCCCTAGCTTCAAAAGAGAAACACAATCAACCCATGAGCGAATACGAAAAAAGTAGGTCTTACAGGAAGCAAACTGTTTCGTCGTTGAATTCCCATCGTTGTCTTTGATCGTGAATGTAAACTGGTCACCTAGGGGGCAATTTAGTATTTGAGCGAGAGCTGGATGGATGGGTTTATATACCTGCCAAGACCTGCGAAGAATCAGGCGTGAACGTATGTGACTGTGTGTTTCCAAGGTTGGATTGATGATTTGGGGATCCAGAGGTTCTGAAAGATATGATAAGTTATGCATTATGAGGTGGTTGAAGGTGAAGACAGGCTCACTGCTATATAACAGATTAGCAGTGGGTAAGTAGATGAGCATTGAGGGTACGTACTTGGATAAGTTGGTACGGTTCTACAGGAAGAACTATCAGTTTGTATATCATTGGCAAGAGGCTGGAACGGCTCACGTATACCGCCTTGCCATTGGAGCACGATAGAGGCGCATGTGATGGTAGTTTGTCTAATGGTTACCGAGTGTCAGTGAAGAATCGCTATAATGCAGGTTACACACGTATTGAGAAAAGTAAGGGCTTGACCATGCACGCCGCAGACTAAGAACAGAAGAAAAAGAAAAAAGGAGGGACATGATCCCGACTCGCGCTGCGTCAGGCTTTTAGGAAAGGAACAGAGGGAGTTGAAAGCATTGGCGGCGAATAAGAAGATAAAGACTGGGAACCCACATCAAAGGCAGCTGTACAACGGTGATCACGAGCAACCATCTATATATGTGGGGCGTATCTCCACTATCTCTGCAAAGGATCAACGATGGAAGATTCACAAGTGACCGGAGGCTATTGAAAAGAAACGGTAAATACTGGGGTGGCAGTACAATCAAGTGTTCGTGTCAATCCGAGTGACTGAGGAGAAGGCTCAGGTTGCCGAGTCGGATATTATTGTTGTGCGCGAAGAGGTCCTTCCGAGTGTACATGTCAATGTCGCGTGTTGGTATTTTAGCGCCGGTTTAGCGCCGGTTAGTGTGTGGGCGCTTCGAGACGAGCTCGACGTCGACGACGGTCTGCTCGATGCTCGTCTGTTTTTACTTGCTCTCGAAGGTCAGCATGCAGCTACGGACGCTACTTTGGAAGGATTACTGAAATTTCCTTTTACGTACTTGGACAATAAGACGTCCAAATGGGGACAAAAGGAAAGACAATGGGGCTTCGAAAGCTCAAAAGCTCGAAGAACAAAGAAATTCATCCCACCTCTTTTTACGAACTAGATCCTTTGGACGTCGCCGGTCGACTTTTGGCATGTCTTCAACACCACCCCCGACGTACGACACTCGCTCTTCACTCAAACCTTTCCTCGAACTCCCCCATCTGCTCTCTCTCACATGGCTCGCGTACCCAATTCTCTCTCTTCTCTTCGTCGCCTTCCGTCTCCAGCTCTCTTTGGACTCTGCCCAAGGCGATATCGCCAGTGCGAAAGCTGACCTCGTCGCTAGTTGCCAGGCTGCCCAGAAAGCCGCCACGGCCGCTGCGAGCTTGCCGCGCTACATGGCTATCGCGACGAATGCTCAGTTCGTCGACGCTGTGAACGACTCGATGAACGCTGCGCGCGCTACGCTCGTTTTGTCGCTCACTATCATGGAGACGATCATCAATTTCATTATCGACATCTACCGTTCTACTCTCCTGTGCTTCGTCGAACTCGTCGTCCGTGGCGCTCTTTCTTTGGCAATAAGCGCTGTAGCAGAGGTGTGTTCCATACTCTCCTCAGGAACTTGTTCTAACCTTGTTCTAGTTGAACGCTGCTGTCCAGGATGTCGCTTCTGGCTTGGCTTCAGGCATCCAAGGCAGTATCAGTGACGCAAATTCCGCTATATCCTCCGCTATCAACACTATCAACAAAGTCAATCCTTTCGGAAATATCTCCGTTCCGACTATTCCGTCCCCGGATTTGAGCGCCCTCAATAACGTCTCGCTTCCCTCCAGCTTCAACAGCTCTCTTTCCCAGCTCAATGCTTCCCTTCCTACATTCTCACAACTCAAAGCCGACATCGACGCCGTGTAAGTTCTCTTCCTCGTCCCAAGATATCGAAAACTAATTGACTGCAGCATCGACACCCCATTCGAGCTCCTCAAAAAAGACATCAACGACACCTTCGCAGGCCTCAACTTCAACTCCTCCCTCCTCACCGTCCCCGAACTCAACGAACTCACCTTCTGCGACCAGCTCGACACCTCCGTCGTCGACGACCTCGGCCAAGACCTCGTCAAGGTCGCCAAAATCGGCGTCATCATCCTCATCCTCCTCGCCCTCATCCTCGTCGGCCTCAACTGCGCTCTGGAGTGGTACAAATGGCGCTGCCAGAACAACCACCTCCGCAATATCCGCGAAGCGTGGACTACCGATCCTGCCGTCAGTGTCACCCACACCAACTTCAAAGGAGCAGGGGCCCCCTCAGTTACACTCACAGACTACAACCTCCTCGTGCTCCAAGCCAACAGCGCCCACCCCCTCATCACCCGCATCATCAACCAGCTCTCCACGCGTCTGCACTTCGGCCCCACCACCCACATCAACCTCTCCTGGTTCCTGCACTACATCTTCCACCCCCCCGCCCTCGCCTGCTTCCTCATCGGCTTCTTCGGCCTCCTCTCCGTCGAGCTCCAGCTCCTCGCCGTACACCCCTTAGAAGCCAAGTTCTCCGCGCAAGCAGCCGCCACCTCCTCGAGCTTCGCCAACACCATCGTCACCAGCGTCAACGCGAGCATGTACAACCAATCAGCCACCTACGCGAATAACGTCAACACCCACATCGATGTATTGCAATCCAGTATCAACGATGGGTTATTTGGATGGGTTAATGGCACCACTACAGCGCTGAATAACACCATTGCTACGTTTTATAGTGATATCCAGGATGCGATTAGTGATGCGTTTAATGGGACGCTGTTGGAGCAGCCGTTACAGGAGTTTCTGGCGTGTTTTATTGGGTCGAAGGTGGAGAGTATTGAAGAGGCGTTGACCTTCTTAAATCAAAACCTGCAAATTGATATGCCGCGGGTGAATGAGAGCATCCTGGTGCTGTCGCCGGAAGCGGTTAATGAGGCGACGCAGCCGATATCGCAGGCGGCGGTGGGGAGTGGGTCGCCGGGGGATAGCGGGTTTGTGGGGAAGTTGGTGAATGCGTATGTCGCGTCACTGGAGAAGGAACGTCTGATGTTTGGCGTTTTTATGGCGCTGTGGGGGGTGGTGGTGCTGATGGGACTGGGGATCCTTTTGTGGAATGTGTATGGGAGGGGATGGGTGGAGAGGAGGGTGGAGAGGAGGAGGAGGGGGAGGTGGGAGAGGGAGCAGAGGGGGGGTGTGGATGGGTTGATTGTGCCGTTTAGGGATGCGCAGCCGGTTAGTGAGAAACCAGGGGCCGACTTTCTTTCATTTTCGCCGGAACCGGAGGGTTATAAGATTGAAAGGGCGACTTCTGGGTCGTCCAAAGGATCAAGGACACCCCTGACGGGGTCGGAATCCAAAACTGGGTTCTCCCTCTTCGGCAAGGGCAAGAAACCGTTTCCGGTGATTAGTAAACCGTTCAAATTGATGTCTGTTGTGGGGCCGAAAACACAGGGGGACGCTGAGGCTGAAGCTGGGGACCTCTCTACGGAAGACCGGGATGCTAGTGCTGCTAAACCTTGGTTTGGACGGTTTACGGGTGCTTTTGGGAAGAAAGGGTCTGGTGAAGAAGATTCTCCTACTTCTTCCCCTTCCCCACCTTATCCCTCTTATCCTTCCAATTACCCGACTTCCACCTATCCGACTTATCCAACCTCCGACCGTACGCGCCCCCATCTCGAGATCTCCATCGACCGCGCGTCCAGCGTTGACGCTAACGAGAACGCTAACGAGATCGACGTCTCCAACGTCCCGCACTCGCGGTGGTCCACCTCTCCAGAGGTGACCAAGATCGCCCCCTGGATGGGCATGCTTTCGCCGACGAGGAGGAGTTATGATCATGGGCCGCCACCTGCTTCCTCTTCTTCCTCCCCTTCTTCGAAACCCACCTCCTCTCTTTTGAAGCCCACAACGACGACAACGAAACCCACCACATCAACGCCAGCGCGTTCTCACCCCGCAGTCCCCGCGGGCGTAGACTCGATGTACGAGATCGAGCCGACGCCGTTCGCTACGCCGTTGCATCTCGGGTTCAACGGTGTTTCCTTGTCCAATTCCAATCCCAATTCCAACTCCAACTCCCCTTCGAATTCGAATTCGAAATCACTGGCTCCTCCCCGCGATCCATTCCGGGATCCACACAGGAGGCTTCCGCCCGCTGCACCAGCGCCCTCCTTAGCACCAGCGTTCCCCAAGCAAGCACCCTCAGGAACCTCAGGAACCTCAATAACATCGATAACCCCCGTAACCCGCTACCTAACCACCACCCCCGCGCGCCGCTCCTCCAACACGAACTACAACACGAACTACAACCCCTTCGCCACGCCGTTTGACGACGAGCATAGGGTGACGCTGCAGCAGTCGCCGCCGCATCAGAGTTATCAGACGAATTTGACGAGTGCGGGTGCGACGAATCCGTTTATGGTGGTCGCCATGTAAAGTTGTGAAGTTGTGGTTTTTTCATGATGCTTTTCACGTATATTTCGCTCTGAGAGCGCTTAACGCCCACAACATTTTCACCTAATGTTGGATTCTTTTGATGATGTAAAGTCCAAGCTGTGTTTCCCTTATCTTGCATCCCCATCTCGTCTACGTATGTGTATTTTTACTGCACCTTTTCACGCACCTTTTCTTCAACGCACCTTTTCACGCACTTTTTCTTTTCACGCGCTTTTATATCCCATGCCGGACATCCACAAGTGTATCCTGAGTTTTGTAAAACCCTTGAAAACCTTTTTTTTTTTTTTTGTATCTATACATATACTACATCGTACCTAACTTTTTTTTACTAATTAATGAATGGGGTTTGTTGCTCTTGCTATAAAAGAATAGGTCTGAAACAGTAGAGTGAGACTTTAAGTGTACAAAAGCGGCTGTTTGCAGAAGAGTGCGGAAACAACAGCGCGATGAGTGGTTAAAGCTGCGCCAGGCGTCACAGAGGAACAAAAAAAGCGGAAAGGAGTGGTCCTGATCTGGTCCAAAATCCGTATTCCCTCCTACTTGCGGCTGCTAGAAGAACCCACTGAAAACCCCCCACGAACAACGGGTGTTCAGCAGTAGGGCACTAGGTTGTATAACCCCTTCTTAGCTCAGTCGGGAGAGCGCGTCGCTAGGATTGGATTTATAAAGGCGAGATTCTATTGAGACGAGGTCAGTCGTTCAAATCGACTAGAACTTGGATATTAAAGAGTCAGATCCGTTTCATTCAATTTTTGATATCTCGGTCGTGCTACGAGAACCACTGAACCTCAGGAACAACAGTTGCTTGCGTAGTCCTTCTTAGCTCAGTCGGTAGAGCGCGTTAGGGCCGGCTGTTCCCAAGTGAGACCCCGCCCGGTGGCGGAGCCGGGTACAAATCTATCTATCTGTCTATCATATTAGATGAGGCATGGTAGAAAGAATTACGAGGTCAGCCGTTCAAATTGGCTAGAAGGAATACTATGTTTTTGTCCCGAGCTAGCAACTGCTGTGTTCAGCTGATAACGTAGACACCATATTCCGTTTCCGACTTTGAACCTTGAGTTGTCTCTGGACTCCATTCACGAAAGTACGAAATGGAGCCGACCCCATTCGCTGCGCCTCTGTATCCAGTTTCACACGTGTCGAATTCCCCTTCGCTCAGGTTAGTCCCTCCTCGAGAAGCAGCAGCCCGAGTTGTTGAGTCTGAATTTGAAGCTGTGACATTGCCTAAAGTATTTAAAGGAAAAATGCACTGATGGAAGGGATTGGGTTGAAAAATAGTCGGTGTAGCCAGGGGATCCTTCAGCCTCAGGGTAGCAGTGTCTGCAGTAGGATCTGGAGGAGCAGAAGTTAGAACCCCCAGGCAGAGGTAGTCGAAACCGAGGCGTGGCCCGCGGAGCATCTATCTCCAATCTGGCTCCCGCTCATGAATGCATGAAGAGACACCACGCTTATTGTTCTACTTCACCTGACCAAAGTAGACAGCGAAGAATCTTCCTTCATCGATAGCTGGAAAGGATATGTTTCATTTAAAGATTGACCAGTTAAAACCCAGTTATCATTGGTATTACCGAACCCTGATTTCGCTTTGTCTGCGATTGTTACGATTTCCCACCCTACTTCAGTCAGGCTGAAGTAGAATGGCAATAAGCGTCACGGTGGTGAGATATTCCGAGTCTTTGGGGCCGGATTCCTACAAGTTGCAACTGCTACAAGAAACCGAACTTACCGAAGCTTGAACCCAAAGTTTTTATATACGTTCTTGGCTCAGTCGGAAGAGCGCGACTGAAAGTATTCTAAAATGTACACGACTCGTCAGCCTTCAAGATTCAAGAACAGTGTTCAAACCGTTAACCGTGGCTTGCATACTCCAGCTTAACTCAGTTGGTAGAGCGCGTCACTGAGATAATTATTCAAATCTGCTAGACCCTTTAGTACACTGTGACCCCACTACTTCCTCTTGGAATGTCTATTCATAACCGGTGTACAAGGATTTCTGTGTGTTGATACTATGGAACTATCAGGCACTTGTGTGGTATTTTTCCCCTCTCGATTTAATGCATCATTTCTGCTTAGCTTTGTACCATCAACTTTTTCCGGCTTCCCAGAATATCTCAGCTCATAAGTAAACTAAAGGAAAGTTTTGAAACAAATTTCATAAATTGCTTGCGCCAGATTAGCTCAAGGCAATGATTCACTGATGAATGAGTCAAAACAACTACAGCACTAACCGAACTGCAGCTACCTGCTACCCGCCACCCTCTAGAAGTGCCACCAAGAACACAGCCGTCCTGCTGATGAGTACCAATTGAGCCGTAGTTATGTTCGAATTATAGATAAATTGCCGTATTGAATCTACTTAAGTACGTGACTAGGACCAGGTAGAGAGGCCCCCTGTGATCTGAACACAATAAGCTTGCTTATTCCCAAATCTCCCCGCCAAGGACTGTCAGTGAAGTCACGCCACTAATCATGACTCCAGAAGAAGTAGCGGCAGTGTCACGTGCTGGACTTGCATTCTTCGAAAATTTGGGCGTAGACATACTTGTCTCCACTTTATTTGGTGCATACACTAGATTGTTTATTCTGACACGAAACAATCCTCAATTTTCATTGTATTTTCTACTAGGGATATACTTCTTGGCATATTGTATCAGCCTTTACATTTACTTCAAGTGAGTTCTCATATCTCAGATATCTTGACAAAACAACAATTCTGAATACCTTGACTATGTAGAAAAAAGGGTAATGCTGGGAATGCAAAGAAAGCAATGATTTGTGTACTCCATGGCAATTTTGCCCTGATGGTGATGCTTATTGTGTCGTTTGTGGCAGTGACACTTGAGGTTGTCAAATATGCTCAAGTTATATCAGGGGGAAGCATGAAACAAATAGCAATAGCTGATTCAAAGTTAAGTAGAATAGTCGAGAATGATATTAGTATCTGGTCAGGCAATGTTATAGTGAGTTTTTTAGACTTTATATGTCTCAACACTGATTGACCTAATCCTGGAAAGGAACTCATTGCTGATACTGTGATTGTGTGGAGAGCTTGGGCAGTGTGGATGGACAACACAAAAGTGAAATGGACTTTGCTTCTGCTCATGCTTGCAGATACAGGTGAGATTTATCTGTGGCCATTGTTCTACATGAGCTCACAGAGATGCAATGTTAGCTGTTAGCTTGGCTGATTGCGTTGCAGTATCTGCAACAGATGTTCTAACTGAGTCCCAGTCTATAAGTCTTGATTGGGTTGCTATAATCTTGTCATTATCTGTAAATATAGTAGCAACATGTTTGATAGGTTTTCGAGCCTGGTGAGCACCACCTACCTACCTACCTACCCATATATATCTGATTTCATATCCTGCAAATTCTAGGTTACATCATAAATCAATGAACACAATTTCTATTAGGAGAAAAAAAACTCAAGGCGAAAGAATTCTTCTTCTTCTTGTAGAGTCTGGTGCAATTTACATGTTAGTCCAGGTGTGTATTTTGTACAGCATAACCTGTTCCTCCTGAGTCCTGAGCAAAATTTTTAGCTGCTTGTCATAATAACTAATGCTTTGAACATGAATGCACCAGTTGCATCAACCATTGACTTGGTCACTAGTTTTACATCTCAACTTTATATATCTGCTGCTGTGAGGTCCCTCCGATTCTCTGAAACTGTAGACCTGCTGACCTTGCTACACCTATTACTAGTGTCTGAATCCTGTCCTCATATTCATCTTGGTTCAAACACAGAACACATATGACCAAAGTTTCCACCTTAAAGAAATTCCCACACTCAGTCAACAAGCTCAGTCACAGCAGGTTTCTGTCATCTTGAATAGCTTGGAAGGCACTCCAGCTGATGTTGGATTGACTGAACAGGAGAATATGATTGGCAGCACATGAGCAGGGTGGAGGGTGATTAATAATTATATACACTGTGGCTTCAATCAAAAGTAAGACAGGATATAGTTCTGCCCAAGTTCTGCCACCTGTTGCTTGTGCATTGCCTGCTAATGTTCATTTCCTCCTACAGCTCTGCCCGCTGTGATACCAAATTCCTGAGAAGCACAATCTCATGGATCTCTGGATGCACTGCACCTTCAAGTTTAGAGGGATATCTTCTGAGACCAGGAGTTACGAATCCTGAATGTAATGAAGGCTTGTCCTTATGGTGGTTTCATGTGGGAATTTGTCCAAATTAGGTTTCATCTTGTCTAAATCGGGTTGACCTAATAAGGAGATTAGTTTCGACATATTTGGTATGTCAAAGCGTTTGCCATGTGACCTCGGGTTTTCGCCTTCCAATTAAACAATTCCCACCAACTTTTGTTAAGGATGGACACGGGTCCAGGTCCTAACAGGTGACCCGTGGGAATACCTGTCTGACCCGGATCCGCCGGATCCAGGTCAGTCACAGGTCATCCTTTGGTGACTTCCGGACCTTGTAAAGTACCATTTTAGTACCAATACCCGTGATTGACCTGCATGACCTGGATCCGGCGGACACGGGTCAGGATTATTTTCTGCCAGTACCCGCGCAGCAGATCCGGGTTGTCCGGGACCCGGACTCGTGTCCATCTCTAACTTTTGTGCAGCTCCTTGAAATCAACTCTATTTCTCATTGAATCTAAGTGGTACTAAGTGGCTTCTTTCACAACTTGCAACTTCTTTGGACAACCTTGCCACAAATTCTCTGAATCTAGTTCCAGCGAGCAAAAACTCGCTCCAGACTCTGATGATAGTGACATGGCTTCTGAGTGATCAATTTCACTCTTGTCACCAGCTGTATCTGCTTGGAATTCCCTACAGATCACGCTCAGTTTTTTGCTCAAGCCAGCTGCCTTGAAGCATATAGGGCCTTTGATGAACCTAGTAATTAGAAAGAAGTTGTTATATATATTTCTGATTCTGGTTGATGTGAAAAAATCCTGATATGCATGGTGAGTTACCCCAGCTTTCAAGCACTTGAATTCAATTTGTTTTATTTCCCTTGAGCACTCTCGTGAATTCTGGCTTGCGAGACTAGTTTGTCAGCAACTCTGAATATACTGGATAAGCCCAAGGGAAATGCTGCACAAATCAATGATCATCCAGCATAGGATGCTGTTTGGTGAGTTGTAACCCCGTTATTGCAAACTCAGAATTCTTACTTTCCATGTAGGGATTTCAATGCACATATGTTACTTTGGCTCCCATGGAAGTTGTGCCCAATGTCTTTTGTGTCTGGGTCCCACAATTCCAGAGACTCCCCACCCTTACCTTTGTCACTTCAAGACTGGCTATTGCTGCCCTTGGAATCTCCAACTCAGCACCAAGCAAGCCTACTCCCATACGGAGGTCATATTCCAAATCTGTCCTACTCAATCTCGGAGCGTTAGGATTTGGCACCGGATCCAAGCCAGATCGCAATTTACATGGCAACAACAATTCTTTGCACACCAGATAACGAGCGAGCGAGTGACATAAGGCATGTGAACCGACTCTCAATAGACCTCAGATACAGGCACTTGGAGGTAGGAACAATTTAGGTCTGGTACCTGAGGGGCAAAATTCGATTTGGGAAGATTTAATAGAAGAATGTAGAAGAATGTTGGGATTCAGTTTACAGGACTCGTACCTGCCACGCGCTCGACGCGATGGCCCACACTCGCAAATTATGATTCAATATGAAGTGAGCATTCCGGGGTCTTCATTCCAGGTGCTCCAAGACATACTGGTTTGGTAGATGGACACCTCTCAGCTGGTATGGTGTTACTTATATGGTTGATTGCTCTGATCCATTATCCAACACCCTTTTAATAATTATCGACTTGTTATAACAAGTCCAGAGATTTTACAATTATTTATTGTTAGTAGCAATTGATACGAATGACAGGTGTTCTATAATTGAATGCTGATACAAGATTCTCATGTGCATATGGCAGAATGGTTCTGCTGCTGCCACGATGTTATTCTGGCGTTGATCGGGAGGTTACTGGTTCAATCCTGGCTGGTAATGTTTTATTATTTCTCTGTTTTATTAAAAGCTTGGTGGGCCTGGGTTAGTGTTTGGCGCCGCCGTAGGCAGCTCGCGCGATGTTAGGGTTAGGGGCTTGGGTTAGGGCTTGGCGCCGCCGCAGGCGGCTCGCATGCAGCGCAAAAGTTAGCGGTTAGGGTTTAGGGTTAGGTGCGCGCAAAGCGCGAAATTTAGGGGTTAGGGGTTAGGTATATTCTGCTAGCGTAAATGAGGCTTTAGCATGCCTGCCGATGACTTCCTGGCTTGGGGGACCCCCCCGAAGGGGAGGGGAGGGAAGCGGAGGCAGGCCCGAAGTTTACGCGCCTGCGGGATTACAATAGAATTATTATTATGCCATCTTGTTATAACAATAAATAATCATACAATGTAGTTACTTATAATAACAAGTAGATAATTATTATATCTGTGTCCTGAGCTCTCTGATGGAACATGTGGTCACTGGTGGCCTTCCAGAAAATTTGTACTGGTGTTGCTGCAAATCACTGCCCCATTGCCCCGAGTGGCTATTTCTCCTTTTGTTATTGAGTTTCATTTGAACTTCTACGTATTCACCCATTGCACCTGTTCTTCCACAACCTAGCCCATCCATTGCATTCACATGCCTGGTCTGAGGTACATTGGAACTTGTAAAGCGAGGCTTTTCGCGAAAAAGTGATTGTTTGCAGTAGCAGGAGCAGGAGCAGAAAGGAGAAGGCATAGTAGGATCTGGTCCAACTAACCCGTACTACCAATGATAGCTGCTACAAGAACCCACTGAACCTCCCCCCCCCCCCAAACAATGGGTGTTTAGCAGTATGGTATTAGGTTGTATAACCCCTTCTCAGCTCAGTCGGGAGAGGGTGTCGCTAGGATTGATTGGTAAAAACGAGATTCTAACACAAGGTCAGTCGTTCAAGTCGACTAGAAGGATATTCCAAATCCTCATGTGCCAATTTTTGATATCTAGTGCCACAAGAATCACTGAAACCTCAAGGACATCAGTAACTTGGGTACTCCTTCTTAGCTCAGTCGGTAGAGCGCGTTACTAGCATACAAAAGCAGAAGAGATATATACTTTCCTAATTACGAGGTCAGCCGTTCAAATCGGCTAGAAGGAATACTATGTTTTTGTTGTGAGCTAGCACTGCTGTGTTCAGACGATAACATCGACAACATATTCCCATTTCCAACTTTCAAAAACTTCAAGAGGTTCTGGACTTCATGTACGAAAGGCTAGTCCCTCTCAGGGGCAGCAGTGTCAGGAACTGTAGGATCCAGATCAGAACCTTCCCCGGCAGAGGTAGTCAAAGAAGCGTGGCCCGCAGAGCCTCTCTCTCTGATCTGGCTCCCGCTCATAGTGCACAGGGAAATATTCTTCGACGCTAGTTGCAATTGCTACAAGAAACTGAAAACCCCGATCCCAAGAACAATGTTCAGCACACATCATGATATTTACTTATTGCCGATGTACCCTTTTCTCTTTGACTGTACATTGCTCCCTTCCTTCTGTGGCTTCCTCCACCTGCATCCTGCTTTGACTCTCTACCTAGTCCATCTGTCTCCACGTGTGCTCATGTAAATACACAGGAATGTACCAGCCATCATCATTATTGCAACAGCCGCTAATGGTTCCTTGATTTGGTGCAAGCCCAGGTTCTCTTGGTGGATCTGAGAAATGGATCCTTCGTCGGCAACTCAGGGGAAAGCTTCGAGTACTTGTAGTAGGGGATGATGGCCCTTCACGAAGTATTCCAATGAAGTTTATGGGGCATCCAGAATAAACACCTTGCATGAACTGTTGAACACAATCCAAGGCTGGATTGATAAATTTTAGTATCAATGATGGTTGAGGCAATGAAGTCAGGCTTACTGATTTCGTAGTCTAGGCTAGCCTTGGGGTCTCGTATGAAGACTTTTGTGACATTCTCGGATCTTTTGGTCTTGATTGGCTTGTTTCCATTCGAATACCAAGTAGCCGCCTAGATACTCTATCTCAAAGGCAATATCATCCTCTACGAGTATATTGTGAATTGCAGGATATATCCTGGCGTTTGGGAAGGCATATTTCCTGATAACGTACGTGCTTTCAAGAAGGAACATCAAGATGAGCAAGAACTAATAGAACTCTACAGGCATAGATGGCTGCAAGTGAGTCAGCTTCTCATCTAAGCTAAGAAAAGTTTCCATTGAGACATACAGAAGGGAGATTATTGCTTGCTAATTGGACAAGCTCCATTGCTGGTGCCAATCCAAAGTTGTCGTCCCACTTCCAGCTGAGGTTGTAATCCCCCAATATCTGTGACTCGGATTGGAAGATGACTTGAATCCCATGATCGGAGAAATATTCAAGATAGTTCTTGACGCAAGTGAGGACTTCAGCAGCCTTGGTAGAGTTTTTCATCGACTTTTGGAACTCATCTAGCGCTTTGGAAGCGGCATCTGCAAAGCGCGGATCCCTGAGAAATAGCTTTTCCCATGCAAGGTGGATGAGATCTATCGAAGGTTGTAAGGCTTTGGAAGGGATTTTGCTGAAGTTGTTGTTGTTATCTCCTGTGGTGCTAAACACTCGAATTGCAGATTTATCAGTGAGCCGAGGGTATTCTTTTTGGCTCCAGGACCAAATTCTTGGAGCAATCATGAATACAAGAATAGCACTACATATGAAACTTCTGATGAACTCATCCGAGTTTATGAAAGTTTGGAAGGGTATGGCGGACACCTTCCCAGAAACGAGTAATAAGACAAAGAATACGATGGTTTGTTTCTGCATTTCAATGGTTGAGAAAGTGCACTGCCCCTAATTACTGATGTAGACAAGCGCTTTGTCATGAGTGCTTCTGTCTTTTTTTCCTTCATGCTGAATACCTCTGCTGAATACCTGCACTTCCCAACCAACGATCCCTCACATCCTGAAATACACTCAGCTGTCACGTCTCTGCCGCTATCAAGACTATAAACAAAGGCAGTCCATTTGGAAATATATCTGTTCCTACTATTCTGTCCCCAGCCTCAACCCAGACTCCAACAACGTCTCGCTTCCCTCCGGCTTCAACAGCTCTCTTTCCCAGCTGAATGTGTTCCTTCCCACATTCTCCCAGCTCAAAGCCGCCATTGACGCTGTGTACTACTCAACATGTTGAAACCTAATTGTTTGGCAGCATCAACACTCCATTTGAACTCTTGGAAAAGGACATCCATGATACCTTTGCAGACTTAAACTTCAATTCCTTGCTTCTCGAGGCCTCACAGCTCCACAGTTGAACGAACCTTCTGCAACTAACTCGATACTTTAGTTGACAACCTGGGCTGGGAGGGTGGGTGGAGAGGAGGGGGTAGAGGAGGGGGTAGAGGAGGGGGTAGAGGAAGTGGGTGAAGGAGCAGAGAGGGGGCGTGGATGGCTTGATTGTGCCGTTCTGCGATGCACATGCGCAGCCTGTTAGTGAGGAACCTGGTGCTGAATTTCTGTTGTTCTTGCCGGAACCGCATCAGTTGAGGGGTTCGGAGATTGAGAGGGCAACTTCGGGCTCTTCGAAAGGATCTGTTATTAGCAAGCCGTTCAAGCCAATGTCTGTTATTGGGCCAAGATCTGCACCCGACGCTGAAGCTGTCCTCTGAAGACTGTAACAATAAACCTTGATTCAGCCTGTTTACTGGTGCATTTGGTAAGAAAGGATCTGAATCAGAACCAGGTTCTCCTACTTCAGATATAGCTGGGAAAGGATCAGACGAACCCGCTGCTCCCCTTCTCCCAATTATCCCGTGTATCCCACTTCCGACCGTACCCGCCCCCATCTCAAGATCTCCATTGACCGTGCATCCTGTGTGGAGGACCCCAACGTCTACAATGATAACAACGTCTCCGTCCCGCACTCACGGTGGTCTACATCCCTCAGAGTGACCAAGATAGCCTCCTGGATGAGGATCCTTTCGCTGACAAGGAGGAGTTATGATCAGGACCGCCTCCCTCCTCTTTTTTGAAGCCTGCAACGACAGCAATAGAGATGCCAAACATGACAGTGCGCGCGCACCCTACAGTCCCCGCCAAGCCAACATTGACTCGATGTACAAAATCAAGCCAACGCCATTCGCAACACCACTGCATTTGTGGTACAATAGTGTTTCTTTGTTGAATTCGTCGAATTCTCTTGTGCCTCCTCACGATCAATACCGAAAACTCCTCCCCAAGCAAACACCCCGCATTTCCGTACCCCATAGCACACTCCATAGCATCACCCTTCTCTGTAGCATCTTCTTCAGTTACCCCAGTAACCCTAACCTACACCTCCGCCCAGCGATCCTCGGGCACGAACTATAGTCTGTTTGCTACGCCATTTGACAATGAGTATCGGGTGATGCTGCAGCATTCTCCGCCGCATCAGAGTTATCAGACGAATTTGACGAATCCGACAGTAACAAATGTGATTAATGTAATGAATCCGTTATGGTGGTTGCCATGTATGTAAATTTTCAGGTTTTTCTTCTTTGTTTTTTTCCCAGACGACGCATCACATGTATGTTTTGCTCTGAGAACGCTTAACGCCACAACATCCTCACCTAATGTTGGATTTTTTTGATGAACGTCTAAGCTCTGTTTCCTATCTTGCATCTACGCATGTGTATCTCTACGCAAAACTTTCATTCAGATGCCTTTTTTCTTGTATCTACATGACATCGTAACTAACTAACTTTTTAAATAATGGATGGAGTTGTTGCTCTTGCCACATCGAAACTTGCAGAGCGTAAAAAAGTGAGTGTTCGCAGAAGCAGTAGCATGATACTTGGTTGAAGCTGTGATAGAGGATCATGAGGCCTGAGAGGCTGGGAGGATCAGAAAGGTGTAGTTTGGAGAGTCTGGTCCAAAACCCATAGCCTTGAGTCCTATTTGCGGCAGCTACAAGAACCCAACCCCCCACAAACCACAGGTGTTCAGTAGTAGGGCACTAGGTTGTATAACCCCTTCTTAGCTCAGTCAGGAGAGCACGTCCTAGGATTAGCTTGGAGTTCCAACACGAGGTCAGTCGTTCAAGTCAACTAGAAGGACATGTTTTAATCTCGCTTTTAAACGAATTCATCCAATTTTTGGTATCTCGATCGTGCTACAAGAACCACTGAAACCTCAAGAACAGCAGTAGCTTGCATACTCCTTCTTAGCTCAGTCGGTAGAGCGCGTTGTTAGCATTGGTGATGTGGTGGAATGAAAGAAGATATAGATCCCAATTACGAGGTCAGCCGTTCAAATCGGCTAGAAGGAATGCCATGTTTTTGCTGTCAGTCAATAACATCGACACCACATTCCGACTTTGAACTTCGGGAATCTCTGGACTTTATGTATGAAATGGAGCCTCAGACCCCATTCGCTCCGCCTCTGCATCTCAGTTTCACGCGTGTTAAAACCCCTTTTTGCTTGGGCTAGTTCCTCCTCGAGAAGCCTGAGCAGCGCGAGTAGCTGAGTCTGCATTTGAAGCTGTGACATTGTTTAAGTGATTTAAAGGAAGAATGTACTTACAAATGGAAGGAGTTGGGTTGAAAAACGGCCAGTGTAGCCAGGAGATCCTTCAGCACAACTTCAGCATCTGAGCAGCAGCATCAGCAGTAGGATCTAGAGGTGCAGAGCCCCCCCAGCAGAGGTAATCAAAACTGCGGTATGGCCCACGGGGCCTCTGACTCCAAACTGGCTCCCACTCATGAGGGCACGAGGAGATATTTGAGGTATCCTTCAGAGCCAGATTTCTACAAGCTGCGGCTGCTACAAGACTCAGAAACTAAAATGGGTCTACTAAGAAAAGTGTTCAACACAGGGTTTTAGATACCTTCTTAGCTCAGTTGGGAGAGCGCGTTACTAGCCTGAGGATTAGATTGAAGAGCCAATAGTCTAAAATGTACAAGAAGTTAGTCATTCAAATCAGCTCAAAGGATATTTCAGTGATAAGGAATTCATCCAATTTTTGCAAGAATTTAGAACCACTGAAACCTGAAAACTGTGGCTTGCATACTCCATCTTAGCTCAGTGGGTAGAGCATATCCCTGGGATAGTTAAGATCAGCCTTTCAAATCGGCTAGAAGGAATGCTTCGGAATGCCTCTTTTTACTCTGAGCTAGTAGCACTGCTGTGTTCAGCCAATAAGTCATCGACAACATATTCCGATTTAGACTTCAGGAGTCTCCGAACTTCATGTATGAAATTGAGCCAATTCTCTGCCTCTGCATCTTGGTTTCAAATTCCCTTCACTAGTCCTTTCTCGAGATCGACACCGATGTACCTCTTCCGTTAGTGTAAAAAGACATCCAGAAGCAGCAGCATGAATAGTCGGATCTGCTTTTGAAGCTGCGACATGATTTTAAGATATTTAAAGGAACAATGTACTGATGGAACCAGGAAGGGATTGGGTCGAAAAACAACCAGTGTAACCAGGGGATATAGAGGCACAAGAGGGACAAGATGTGTTCTGAAGGCCAGGAGGTCCATATCCTTGCATCCTACCCTCCACCTGCCTGTTTACCTTTCCTGGCATCGCGCTAATGCAAAATAAAGACAGGTAATCGATAGATTGCATAGTCCTTCTTAGCTCAGTAGGGAGAGTGCGTCACTAGGATTAGACTGAAAAAGCCAATATTCTAACACGAGGTCAGTTGTTCAAGTTGACTAGAAGGATATATCAAGTCCTCCATGGTTAAATGAAGCCATCCAATTTTTAACTTGAATCATCATTATTCAAGAGCAATGTTCACCCGTGGCTTGCATAGCCGTTCAAACCAGCTAGAAAGTACGCCAGGTTATCCTCTCTGAGTTTATAACATAGATGCCATATTCCGATTTCCGACTTCGAACTTCAGGAATCTGGTTCCAACTACGAAATTGGGCCAACCCCATTCGCTCCGCCCCTGCAGCCTGGTTTCAATGGTGTTTCCCTAACAAAGTTCAGACAAAGATCCTGCAGATTTACCAAGAACTGAAGATTGTGAAAGACTGTAATGGGTTTGTGATTGACAGAGATATGGCAGTCAACTGGAGACATTATTTCTCTGAGGGCAATATAAGCACCAAATCAGTAAGAGTATATTCACATACTATTACTAAAGACTGATTGTTTTCGCAGGGTACCTCAGAATTCATGTCCGACCAACTGCTGAACCCCAATCGCAAGAATTATGTGCGCTCCCCACTCGATGATTACCGTTCTCTCTTTTATGTTACCCAATGGGCATGTGCTTTCCATGAGTTGTCACCGGAAGACTCACCAAAGTCCCCCGCACTACTTCAACAACTACGCACTCACCTTACTGGAGACCGTGTAACCCGACAATACGCGACGAGTACTATGGTGGACATGCTAAACATAAGGAAAGACAAATACGGAATTTGGTTGGCAGAAGCTCAGCCATTCTTAAGAGACTGGAATGCCTCTCTTAGTCTACTTGGCAATGAGTGGGTGGACATTGTTAAATCCAGAGGCCACAACAGTGTCTCGTTCCGTCAGTGTGCGGACCTTGGGTTACTGGTGTTCCTAGAGATTGCCCGCAAACACATACATCTTTTACCCTAGACTATGCATATCCCTACTTATCCCATGCATGCATCCCTTGTACCTTGTATTATATCTCTTGAATCAAAGGCTGGAAAAGTGTATATCATGAATATCCCTAGTACTCCGTGACCAGTAAGTGTCTCATGCAATCGAAGGCACAGTGTTCACAGCCCATATCCATATTTAGCTTCAACGGCCTCTTTGAACTTCAAAGAGCCCACATTAAGTTTGAGGCCTGAGTTTAGTCTCAACAGCAGAATATACCACTGTGTTTATGATATTGAGCTTGCCAAGTACCGAGAGTAAATGATAGGATAAGGACCTTGCTTGCGGCTGCTACAGGAACCACTGAAATCTTCAAGAACAGTGTTCAACGGTAGGTTGCATATTCCTTCTTAGTTCAGTCAGGAGAGCACGTCTTAGGATTGAACTGGAAAAGCCAATATTCTAATACAAGGTAGGCTAGTCGTTCAATTTGGCTAGAAGGAAATATCAGCAAGACAAAAATCAATTTTTGATATCTCGATTGTGCAAGAACCATTGAAACCCGTGTATTCAAGAACAGCATTCAACAGTAGGTTGTATGCTCCTTCTTAGCTCAGTTGGTAGAGCGCATCACAAGATTTTAATTAGAGTGAACGGACATTAATATTGCTAATGACGAGGTCAGTCGTTCAAATTGACTAGAAGGAATGTTGATGAAGACTGGAGCAAGTTTGTTTTGTTAAGCTCTCCAAGCAGTGCTCAACCGATAATACTACCAACCTTGGGAGTCCCGCGGAAGACCCGACATCTTGACCTTTCGTTGACAAATAATAGAGAACAAGCAACTTTTTTCTACAAGTCCTAATGCAGATAGCTTGGCCAACTTCAGATTTATACCTCTTCAAGGTCCCATTATTCCATGCTCCATTTTCTTCCCAAATATCATAGATAATGAGACTCGAAAGGTTCCGCTCCACTTCTCTCTCCTACTAATTTATATGCTTGCTAAATTAATATCCTATAGCTGCTCCAATCGGATATTCAAAACCATATTCCTACTTGCGAGCGATTGAAATTTGTTTATTCAAGAGTGTTGAACAATTCCTTGTATATTCCTCCTTATCTCAGTCAGTAGAGCACGTTGTTAGATACACAAACAATCTAATTAGCATGAGGCTAGTCGTTCAAGTCTGTTGGTATGAGCCGAGATGCTGTACATAGTTTACAGTCTGTAGTCACATGTTATGTTGCTTGCTTGTCTTAATACCACGTCGTTGTTTATCGTTCGTGTCCTTTTGTGGATATCCCAGGTCTAAAGTTCAACAGGTTATGGGCAAGTGTTAACCACTGCTCTGCTGCTCAACTATTTCCTAGGTCTTTTCCTATTGTTAGCTGTCACGATCAGCACCTCCCTTTTTATTGCCTGCTGTCACGATCAGCTACCTCTATCCCATCCTTTCTCATCCACCATCTTATTCTATCATGGTCAAACCTTCTGATATTGTCAAACTCACGGGTACTAACTACTGGACCTGGAAGAACCAAGCCCAAGCTTTATTGCTTGCAGGAGGTACTGGAATGCTGTTGATCCCTCAGTACCTGTCCCAAATGGTGCTGTACAAGCCAGAGCTTGGACTAGTGACAATCTGAAAGCTTATGGGATGCTCTACCTCACATCGAGCCCAGATGTCTGCATCAAGGTAGACAATGTAGGTGTTTCAAACAGTGGCCGTCTTCTTTGGGCACAACTTGAAGCCTTCTATACATGATCAGACCCCGCTACTCGTTCATTACTCATGTCCCAGTTCCAATCCATCACCCATGACATTCGGAAACCCGCCGATACTTTCCTTCAGCAGGTGCTCAGCATTGAGCGTCAGCTTCATGCTATTGCCGTTGCCCTTCCTACTTCTTTTGTTCAGGATAAAATCCTGGGTGTCTCTCTGCGGTTTATGGTCCTATCATCACAGTCCTACAGAATGAATCGCCTCAGAAATCTGTTGCTGACATGATCACTACGATTAATGCCTGGGAGCTTAGTGACCTGCAGAAACGGGATCCCTTGATCAAGGTTGCACGTTCTGGGGTGATTGGGTTCCTGCTCTGCCTTCTCCCAATCATGGGGGTGAGAGTGAAGAAGCACTTTACACTTCTCAATCCTGTCCTCGGCAGTCTTCTCGTTTTAACCCATCATCTAACTCATTGACTCAGGCCTTACCAGAATTTGATTGGACTAACACCAAGCAGTGAACCAATGTCTGCTACCGATGCGGTCAATCTGGTCACTTTGCTCAATATTGCATATCAGTAATGCCTGATGATGTCCGCCAAAGCATTATCCACAATCGTTCCAAATATGCTGCACTTTTAACTGAACCTGCTGAACCTCAGGCTGCCCCTCCAATGCAGCATGAAGCTCTTGCAGTTATGGACCTACCTCTCACCATTGACCCTGATGCCATGTCCCCTGAAGTACGTGAAGCATGGCTCAGTACTGTTACTCTATCAGAGGCCCACACTGCAATTCTCACTCCTGATTCATCGGCTCCTTCATCTCCTACTGATGCAACAGTGAGCTCTACTCCTAGTAGTGCTAGGAAGAAGAAGAAAAAGAAGAAAGGGAAATCATCATTGGGCATGTCTAGTGTTACTCATTCTTTTGAGGAGTTGAATCTTGCAGATGCAGCTACCTTGAGCAAGATTGAGGCGGATGAATATGAAGGTTTTTAGTCGATTATCTCTTTTCATTTTTACTGCTTTTAGTCATCTGGTGATTCACATTATTGAACAGTTTACTTTCTATGTAGATATAGTTTCTGGGGGTGTCTCAACTCAGGGGTGTGTTGGTATGAGCCGAGACGCTGTACATAGTTTACGGTCTGTAGTCACATGTTATGTCGCTTGCTTGTCTTAATACCACGTCGTCGTTTATCGTTCGCGTCCTTTTGTGGATATCCCGGGTCTAAAGTTCAACAAAGTCGGCTAGAAGTAATTGCTTGTTGTTTCGTGGCTATTTTTTGATATCTCAATTTCAGGCTGTTGAATAAACCATAAGTGTCTAAGAGCCTTACTTTACATTTTTACCTCGTCAATGTTTCATCGTTCCAAGCTCCACAGTCAAAAAGCATGGCCCGCCGCTGTCTCCCACTCAATGTCTTTACCTGTTCGACTTGTATTCCCCTGTTCCCCGTCTATGTAAGTATCAGATGCATGATCAGATGCCGGACTGACTAGGAAACAACTGGGAACACGAGAGGCGAGGCTAAGCGCTAAGCTACAAGGATGTTGTCGGACTCATGGGAAGCTTGATGGCGGCGATTTGCATTCGACTCCAACTTGAATGGTAACTGCAAAGTCAAAGTAAAAACTCGGTCCACCAGCCAGAATGCATGATGGGTAACTTGTTTGACATTATGCGCCTAGACCGCAGAGACATCTGGATATGATTCGCTGTTGTTATTGGGATTGGCACAGGAGAACCTCTCGAGGTCCTCAAGTAGGGATGAGGAAAAAACTACGCTACTTCATCGACTACGAGTCGTCGATTACAGTGTT